GGGATGTTGTTTTCTTTACATACACAGGATGTCTACGGGGACTGATGTTGCTAGTTGCCAGGCTGTCTCTGACATCAGTACTTTCTAGGTCAATATGAAGAACCCCAGGTATGCAAAAAGTTAGCCCTTGCAGTGGGAATACTCGAACACTGCAAGGGTTAAATGCCGTTTTTTTTTCCTCTCTGGGCAAAAATAAAGAAGAAATACTCATCTGACCCTCGATTCCACCTGGCTGCTATACTGGTCCCTGCAGCCTCTTCTCCTGCAGGCTTCAGTGGTCTAAGGACCAGTGACATTATCATGTCTAATACAGTTCATTCACTTGCATTAGACATGTGGACGCCAAGGGATATACCACAGCCAGAGCGAAGGGGGAGAGAAGTGAGCGGTCACTACTGCTAGGGGGCAGGGCCGTCCCTTTTATAAGGAAGTCTGAGGCTGTTGCCTCAGACGGCATCTCTTTGGTTCATGTGTGGTGGGGATGACAGGCAGAGCGGCCACTCTGCTGCAGCACAATAATTGCAGTGTGCCTACTGCCCCCTTTCCAGTCAGAGGATCTCAGGTGGCTAGTGCAGGGTGGGGAGATGTATAAAGGTCACATACATCTCCCAGCCTAGCTCTTAGCAACCTGGAAAGTCACTGGTTGCCAGGAGCTGGACAGGACGCCAGCCAGAGCTGGGCAGGGACCCCTGTAGCAATTTTTTGTTGCTTTTTCGTGCATTTTTTAATTTTTGTTTTGGCCAATGAAGGTAAAATAAAACAATAGGTTGCTATGAAAATGCATGTCAATGCTGGCATTAGCCAGCCTGCTACTGGCTATTTCAAGTTGCCCTAGCAGGAAGGGCTATTGCTCCGCCACTGCCTTCTGTCAATCAGCAGAGGAGCAGATCAGAGAAAGCTCTACCTCAGGTCCTCCACTGTGGCTTAACATCAGGCAGTGGGCTGATGCAATAGCCAGCCTGCTATTGCAGTTTAAAATAGCCAATAGGAGGCTGTTTATTTCTCTGCCACTGCCCAATGTAAACAAAGATTCCGTGGAAGCGGCGAGCGCCAGAATTTTTTGTTTTGATCTGGCGTTGAGAATCGGAAGAATTTGCATCGCTGGACGACATGATTGACGCTGAATCTACATTGTGGGACTTTAAAAAAAATAAATAATAATAATTAGTCAAAAGCTGTAGATTTCAAAGATTGAATGTTCCAGTTTGCCCCCTTTTTCTTTTTTTCTTTTATCCTGTTGTTTCATTGATCCGGGGCGGATGCTGCATTGCCCGAGGGGGGAGGGGTATAGTCAACGACCTAAGGAATCACAGGGATGGGGGATGGTGGATATGTCTTGAACGCACTGCCACGGACTTAATATGCTAGACCTAGAGGTGTGTGGAAGCACCCTGGTGTCAGAACTTACTCCCATCTGTCTCATGTCCATGGCTCCTCGGCCAGGATAGATATGGCGTTTGGTAACCAGGCCATGCTAGGTATGGTGAACGGGGCTGCGTACTTGCCTGGTGGCCTGTCGGACCATGTCCCATTGTCTATTACTTTTTCAGTGCCCGGAGGCAGGAGGTCGGGAGGCTGGAAGCTGTCGCCTGAGTGGCTGCGGGAGGAGGGAGTGGCTCAGAGGGTATCTCCAGCATTGCTGAACTATTGGCACGACAATGTGGGCACTGCGTCCGCACCTGTGGTTTGGGATGCTTTTAAAGCTACCGCCAGGGGAGAAATTGGGGTTCTTGGGGTTTTCATGAGCTGTAAGCCATAATCATCACAATTATGACAAATCACGGCTTGAACTGTCTTGCTTTGCATGTAATGAGTCTATCTCATATATTAGTTTCACCTTTTAAGTTGCATTAGTGAAATAAATGAACTTTGCACGGTATTCTAATTATTCGAGTTTCAATATCTAGTTGCTGAATGATCTGATGGAGTAGGGGATAACATGCAGGTAAGTTTGTTTTATTGCAGAGAACACATAGCATGTCCTGCAATAAAGTGTCTGCCTTCTCCTAATTTTCTTTTTTTTAAGTTTAGCTCCACTTTGAGGAGAGGATTTATCAAAGGCAGGCAACTGCCACTACATAAGCAATTTTATCAATACACAGTTACAGTTCAAAGGCAATCATGGCAATAAACAATGTGCAAAGTGGCAATACACAGACAAATATGGCATTCAACAGGAATGTCAGTGGCAATATATAGACAATCGCGACAGTAAACTGGCTGCTCAGTAGAAACGCAATGGCATCTAAGGCAACTAGACAATTGGAATAAATAGACAACCCAATGGCAATATGCAATTACAGCAGCATAGGCACTCACTATTTTCACATGATTAATCCTACAGTTGAGAATAATAACAGCCCTGTATCTCTGAGAATGAGATGGAAGGCATTAAGATAAGGATATGGATCCCAAAATACATAAATAAAAAAAGCAGCAGTAGACTCTTCCGATATGCAATGAATCTTTTTTAGGCCCTGTTCACACCAGGGCGTTTCGTCGCTTGTTTTTTTTCCACGCTGAAACGCTTGCAAATTAAAAACTCATGTATTCCTATGAGGGTGGTCAGTCCACGCAAACGCTGAAAGACGCATAAAAAAATCTGAATATCAATGGAATCCCACAATGACATTGTGATATGCCTGACCTAAGTGGGTGTACATAAGTCCAATGTCGCTGTTTTAAATTGACTTATTTAATGATGTTCTGTGCTATCAAAGTGTGTCTTGGCTTTTGTTCCCCTTATTACATGTGTGCCGGCAAAAAAATGTGGTTCCCCTTTAGGTCTGGTAAAAATTTTAGGAGGGATCGCAAACGCCAAAATAACAAAAATCCCTTACCAGACCCTTAAACCCAGCAGCAGCCTGGCAGAGCAGGGAAGGGATGGGGTCCAAATTGTAAATAAACAAACCACACCGTAAAACAAACATCCTTTATTTGAACAAAAAAAAACAAACGTTTTTGACAAGTCCTTTATTCAAAAAAAAAGTCCATCGATGTAATGCAAAAGCCAATCACATCGTCCAGCGATTGACTTGTTCCGCCCATTTGTTGACATTGGGGAGCAGAGCTGTCAATGTTAGTAACTCTGCTCCCAAATCCTATCAATGGACATTTTTGTTTTTTCCAAAAAAGGACTTTTTTTTTACGGTGTGGTGTGTTTATTTACAATTTGACTTGGTGAATGAGTAGGGGTGATAACTACCCCTTACCCATTCACAAGGTGGGGGGGGTGGCATCTGGGTGCCCCCTTTTTGCAGACCCCCTGCCTGCAGACCCCCACAACCGCTGGGCCAGGCTTGTGGGGAAGAGGCCCTTGTCCTCATTGACATGGGTACAAGGTGCTTTCCCAGCACACTCCTACATATTGGAAGCTGGTGGTGTGAACTGAGCGCATTCATAACAAGGCAATTTGCCTTCTCTTGCATTCGGGCTGTGCTGAAATAAACATTCAGTGCAGCCTGAATTCAGATAGTGTGAACTGGCCCTAAAGCAAGAAGTACAAAATTGTTATAAAGAAGTGGTATAAAAATATTAAAGTGTATGTCTGGGAAAAAAATTCTGTAGTGAGCTGGTAATGCTGCCTTCCCTGCACTGTAATCCATTGCCTCCATTCCCACCTGAGCATAGGGTTGCCACCTGTCTGGGATTCACCTGGACAGTCTGGGTTTTGAGTCTTGTATGTGCTCTTCGCTCTCTCTCCTGGCTGTCTCTCCTCACTCTCTCCCCTGGTTGTCTCTCCTCACTCTCTCCCCTGGTTGTCTCTCCTCACTCTCTCTCCTGACTGTCTCTCCTCACTCTCTCCCCTGGTTGTCTCTCCTCACTCTCTCTCCTGACTGTCTCTCCTCACTCTCTCTCCTGTCTCTCCTCACTCTCTCTCCTGGCTGTCTCTCCTCACTCTCTCTCCTGGCTGTCTCTCTTCACTGTTTCTCCTGTATATTCTCCCAAAGAAATTGCAGCGAGGCGATAGAGTGTTTGGGTTTCATTTAAAGAAAAGTTGGCAACCAGTACTTGAGCATTTTGCAGCTTGAGGAGAGACAGCAGGAGGAACCCTATTGTTTTTTTATGGCCTTTGTTTAGATCTGAGTGTCACGTGCAGCAGAATGCCTGTAGCTCGAAAAAGTACATGAGCTTTTTTTGGAGCAGAGTAGAGCATTTTAGCCCCAATTGATGCGCCAGAAAAGCACAACAATTTGCATAATGTGCACATTCTCTTGTCTAATAACTAGCTTGTCATTGGCTATCAAAAATAGTAGTAAAGGCGGTTGCTTCGAGCGGCATCTCCTTGGGGTGCGGCGGCCACATTTTCCCAGGTTGCTAAGTGCCCTTAGCAACCTGATATGGTCTGTGCGGCTCTGCCCAGCTCATTGACATCACCGTTGCTAGGATCTCAGGCGGGACGCTCTGGCTTGTGTCCTGCCTAGCTCCAGGCAACCAGTGATGTCAGTGAGCTGGGTGTGAGCCTCTGAAAGCACGGTCTGGTGTCCGCCCTCATCCAACAAATCCGCTGCGCACCTTCCCCCCACCACTGACCATTCCTTGACCCCAACCCCAGGCCTCGAGTGGCAATTTAACTAGGGACAACGCTGCACCAAGCTCAGCCTCATCACAACAGGACATCTAGCATTTTCTACAGAAGTCAGCATAGTCCTCTCAGCACAGTGGCCAGCAATGGCATTTCTAGTGGCATTTAATACAGGTGTTCTATTAGATGTAGATGTCTGGGTTTTTGAGTCCTGTATGTGTGTGTCTGGGTTTCAGCTGGCCTGAAAACCGGAAACAGCACATACAGGACTCAAAAATCCGGGACAAGTGGCAACCCTACATGCATTGCACATGAGTTACTTTGCTACGGCGCTCAACCATTAACAACACACCGATTACACAATGCTACAATGCGTAAATATAATCTGCTCGGTCACGTGCAGTGCAGAACCCTATGGCCAATCAGGAAACGGAATATGCCGTCCAATCACAGCGCTGTTGACATGCTGTTTCCGGAAGTGCTCCTGGATCCAGGTGGAAGCAGCTGTGGGGCCAGGGAAGGAGAGAAGACCGTGCACGGTAATAATGGCATCTGTGGGTGACAAGCGATCTCTTCCCCGGTGTCCAGCTCAGTCGTGCCTGGCTGCTGTCTGTAGGCCAGAAGGGGCGCTGTGCTTAGTGGATGAATGGTAGAATTGTCCTGGTTTTCCAGTAGCAGCTTTATGCCTATAGACCGCTCACCTGTCACCACTTGTCTGCTTATGCTGTAGGCTTTACTTGAATGTGTGACACTGCTTACTTACCTGTGACATGTTATCTGCCAGACATGATGACAGCTAGCATATATAAAGTAGACACCTTCATTGGACATTAATCAATTTAGATGATCAATATTGCTTTATCTAGCTAGGGTTTGTGTACATAGGGATTTGTGTAACATTACAGCCAATGGGAATGAAAAAGTAATCTTGATTGCAAGCCAAATATACCTAAAAGCACACTGAGGGAGGATTTATCAAAGCTGGTGCATTGCAACCAATCAGCTTCTCTGTCTTATTTTCAAATCTTACCTGAGCAAACTGAAGAGAGTGCCGTAAAGGACTGCACTGTATCAATTTCCCTGTCTAAGCCGTTGACACATTCAGAAACGCCATCATCTCCAGGCTATGATGAGGGTAGGCAGAGGTGACAGCATTTATTCATTCTATTGCCAGGCTTGAATGCTTGTCAGTTTTGAGATTTTGTTTTGATTTAAAGGAGATCTAAAGGCACCAGTGTTCTAACAGAATCCTGGACTTCGTTAGTTATCTGGACTGCGGCTTGCGCAGAATAGGTGATTGGGTCCAAAAATTTCACAGGCTTTTTGCCTGCATTGTGCATATGCGGGGGAGCCGGTCCAGAGAATTTACAATAAATTTACTTGTATTATATGTATATTTTGATTATGTGTTAAGTGATATGTTTGCAGGCATCTTAGCTGTGAATTGTGTAAAGTTAGTGGCTTACCCGCACAGGCGTTCCTGTTTGGCTGGTTAAAACGCCCTAAGAAGTACAGGAGCTTCTTTGGGGCGTATTTGCCGCGTGTATCCATTAGGATACAGCCGGATAGCCCTCGGAAACACGCGCTTCTTTTGCTGCAAATCGCGGTAAAAACGTGCGGCACGAAAAGCGCAGCAAACGTGCATATTCCGTACGCCCAGGTGTGAACCCAGCATAAAAAGGAAGTGTGGTGCTGTGAGGGAGTAGTGAAGAAAACAGTGTACTAGTTTATGAGCACAGTGCTTCTGCATGTGTGACTACAATGGGAAATCCTTCCTTCCCTCCATTACAGTTATACTTGAATTATTCAGTTGTAAGCCCCGTACACAACAGATCTCACTATGGGCATGCTATGGTCAGAGACTACAGACTTCCTACAGGAGATGATTAGAGATCAGAAACATGCTATAGAGTTTTTGAAAACTAGGGAAATGCATCAGGAGACAAACATAGACTGGCAACATGTTAGATGACTATCCGTACAGCCCCTTTACAAATCAGGACTTCCACACTTGTGCTTCCAATGGCTACCTTTAAAAATGATTTGTGCCACATTTGATATTTCTCACAGCAGGGTCTATTATTACAGACCAGAGAGAAAGAAGGAAAAAGAAAACTGAGATTAGCAGTACAAAAAACCTGGGAAGAAGCTAGTCTAGAGAATATTTTTCCTTTACTCGCCTGAAAAAGCACCAAAACCAATACTACTGTCTAGATCAGGGGTGCCCATTAGGTAGATCGTGATCTACCAGTAGCTCTCAAAGCTGATGCTGGTAGATCACGAAGGGTGTGAATGGTGGCACCTTTATTCCATTTTGGTATATTTATTTAGCTGTGCACACATGATTACCTTACACAGCCTGTTGCCCTACACTGTTGCAAAATACAGCAAGGTGAGCAGGGAGAAACAGACAGGAAAGAGAGAGAGAGGAGAGACAGCCAGGGAGAGTGCAAGGAGTGACAGCCAGGGGAGAGAGCAAGGAGAGACAGCCAGGAAAAAGAGAGAGCGAGGAGAGACAGCCAGGAGAGAGAGGAGACACAGCCAGAAGGATGAGCAAGGAGAGACAGCCAGGAGAGCGAGGAGAGACAGCCATAAGGATGAGCGAGGAGAGACAGCCAGGAGAGAGAGGAGACACAGCCATAAGGATGAGCAGGGAGAGACAGCCAGGAGAGAGAGGAGACACAGCCATAAGGATGAGCGAGGAGAGACAGCCAGGAGAGGGAGGAGACACAGCCATAAGGATGAGCGAGGAGAGACAGCCAGGAGAGAGAGAGAGCGAGGTAGGTTTTTTTTTCGTTGGTAGATCTCATGTAGCTCGTCATTTGAAAAGCAGATCTTAACACAAAAAATTGTGGCCACCCCTGGTCTAGAGAGACCCTAAGGGCTACTCATTAAGTACTCAAGGGTCACATGCACCCCCAGGCCCCGGTTTGGGCACAAAGGCCTTAGGAGGTAAATGCAACATGCTTTTAGGGGCTTTCCACTTGCACTTGACATCTGTTTATAATGCTGCTGAGATCATTGATAGGTGCAGTTGTCCTTTTAAAGGAGAGCTATGGGGTCAGGGCTTTTCCCCATAGTTCTCCTAAAGGTAATGGAAGGACACAAACTAGCGTCCTCCCATCACCCTAAGCTCAGTATATCGCGGGCTACAGCTCGCGGTATACTGAAACGCCGCAGCCGGGATAGATCTCGACTTTACTGTTGAGATCCACCCAGCTGCGGGATTGACAGCTTGCTCTGCCTATCTAGAGGCAGAGCCAGCTGTACCCTCCCCCGTCCATTCCACCAGTCAGCGCTGGAGGATGGGAGAGGGGAGGGGGGAATTCCTGCAGGGAGCCGTGAGTGACAGTAACGGCTCTCTGCAGGGATCGAGAAGTGAGGGAGCGACGGCATGTGTTCGCTCACTTCCCGATCTATTGAGCCGACGTGTGACAGTTTCAATGTCACAGGTCGGCTAGAACTATGAGGTTGAGTGATTTTCACTCGCCTCATAGTTCTCCTTTTAAGCTGGAATAACCTGCTTTAAACTGTGAAGCTGCTTTTGTGTTCTCATTGACTTGTATGGGGAGAAATGCAGTTCTGACATGAACGAAAGCCATTGCCACCTAGACTTCGTTTTGTTTTTTTAACCACAGATGTAGCAGCCAAAAATATATGGGAGAAGTAGAAAAAATACTACCTTTTCAAATGTTGCTTCCCCTTAGACCCTGGCCCTTATTGTCTTTGCACAAGTCCACACTTAATAAGAGCACTGAGATTTGAGGTGTCTGGGTTTCTCTGCTTAAGTACATGAAGAAAGTACCTACTCCTCCCCGAGAGGAGAGAGTGCTCGGAGCGCTAGGAGAGGGCCAGTTTCGGTACTTTGATATCAGTGACAGCTGTACATTGCCCTTATGTACGAAGGTGCCAGATATCTCAGTAGATGGTATGCAGGTACACATCAGTTATGCTTATGGATTTGAAAGTCCATGAAATACTCCTCTGTGAAATGGCTGCGTTCATCACAGTCTTGATATGGGGGTTTTGCTCAGTGGTTTTTAATATAATGCAGAAGACTTGTTTCTTTACAACAAGCAGCTAAATATTTTAAATTGAAGTTTAATCTGCTTTATATTTACCTTTCCTTGATTTGCCCCCTCATCAACATGCTAATTACATTTTTAAATACTTTTTTTCATTGCATTCTTTATTTTAGACCCAGTGATGTCATTATTGGGTCTCTGTGCTTCTCTATCACTTCAGGCAGATCATGGCTGCTGGCAGGGTGCTGTATATAGCTTCCTGAAAATATCACTGTACTCTACCTTAGTACTCCTCAAGAGCCTTTAGCTCTGATGCAATCAGTGGGCTGACTCTTGGGAGGAGTTATGCAAATATTAACCACTTGCTGCCCAGGTGTTAAACCCCCTTCCTGTCCAGGCCATTTTCAGCGCTGCGGTACTTTGACTGACATTTATTCCGTCATGCAACGCTGTACTGAAATGAATTTTATATATTGTTTTGGGGACAGATAGAGCTTTCTTTTGGTGGTATTAAAATCATCACCGCGTGTTTTTTTCTTTAGTATATTAAGAAAAATTTACTGAAAATTTTGAAAAAAATAAGTTTTGTTTTTTTACATTGTTATCATACAATTTATTATTACCCAATTTTTTGGTAAAATATAAAAGACGGGGTCACGTCGGGTAAATAGACCCCAAACACGTCAAGCTTTAAAATTGCGCGCATCTGTGAAATCACAAAAAACTACCATACCCAAAATTGACCATAGGCGACACTTTAAAAACGTTTACCGCTCATCAGTTTTGTGTTATCTGTGATTGGTGGCCTTAGAATTATTGCTCTCACTCCGACGTTCGCGGCGATATGTAACGTGTGCGGCGTAATGGGCGCAATCGTTGTTTTCGCACGTATGCGTACCTGACACATGTTTGCATATGTGTATGTATGGGTGGGGACTTTAAAACATTTTTTGTCGTTTTTTGAAAATTATTTTTCATGTGTGACTTCAAACATTTTTTTTGGAAGTTTAATTTTTTTCATATTTTTTTGCACTTAACTTTATTGTTATCACATAGGGGGGTAAGAAACAACAAAGAGGATGTGACAGGTCCTCATTATGGAGACATCAGGGGTCTCCAAGACCCCTAATGTCACCTAGGGACCCCCAAAGAAGCTGATGGAAGCAGAGATCTGCTTCATCAGCTTCTCTCCAGCTTCTGAAGCCGGAGAGTGACACAAGAATGCGGAAGTGATTGGCGCCGCTGCACTTACCAGCACGTTATACAAGCGAGAGCCAGCGGATCGCTTGTATGGAAACAGGCATCGTTGCCTGTTTTTAAATCTTGCCGGTTTCCCGCTCGCGAGTGGGCGTGGCTGACGGGACGTTTAAAAATGCCCGCTCAGATCCAGGAAGCTCCCAGCCGGCCGGTTAACTAAAATGGCCGGCCGGGAGGCGGTTACAATGCCGTGATGAGTGGTTGTTAGTGTGGAGAAGTGGGCGTTCCTAGGAAGGCTGCTTTTGTATGAGACAACT